ATAGGTGAAACGGCTCAACATGTCTGACAGCTTCCTTAATACGGCGCTGTATGTCTTGTTTGAGAGCGGGTGACTCTGAGCCCTGTGCTAGGTCGACTTGTGGTTCAGACGGTGACGCAAGGAAGGGGTAGATGAGGTTGATATGTGGTGGCCAACGCTTGAAATGCTTGTCGTGCTCGCGTCGGATGGCTTCAATGGGGGCGGACACTGCAGGTGGCAGGAGCAGTGCAAGGGCACTCTTGTGGGAGAGGTGTGAAGCGAGCTGGCCGGCCATCGAACTGTCGTGAACGTTTACATTCACGTGCACCTTCACGATGCCGCGTTGGTGTTGGTGTCGGTGCTGAGCGACCCCTGTGCTGTGGCTAAAAGTCAGTGGCTGAATCACGTGCACGGCCCTTCGGCGCGCTGTTGCACCAGAGACAGCGACCACTTCCGACTTCCTCTCCTCTACCACAGTCACCTCCGCTGCCGGTCGCGTCGCCATGTGGGAGTGCTAGACACGCCCTATAACGCCCCCCACGATAAGTCCCCGACTCTCCCGCTCTCTCTACCATCAGCCCGGCATTGCGTTCTCCGCAGCACCCCCGAGCGGCGCAACAATCACCGCAGACGGCGCCACCCACGATGGCCGAACAGTCCACGAAGCAGTGGGGCCTCACCAGATCCATATCGACTACGCCACCCCAAGAAAAAGACCTCAAGCTCACTGACGAGCTTGTCGCGTACCTGAAAGTGCGCGAAAACTTCGAGACACCTGAAGGCATCGAGAGGAGGTATGTCGCGAGCCCTCTGCTCTTCTTCCTCATAAGCTCCCCACTAACAATGCACAGGAAGCAGGTCATTGACCATGTCACCAAGGTCACCAAGGCATTCATCGCCCATGTAGGCCAGCAGCAGAGGCTCGCGCCCGACGTCGTGTCCAAGCTCGGAGGCAAGGTCGTTACGTTTGGCAGCTACGCTCTCGGTGCGTACGGCCCAACATCCGACATCGATACCTGCATCCTTGCGCCGCGCAATGTCTCTCGCGAGGACTTCTTCCGCACCTTCCCGCACATGTTCCGCGACATGTCTGATCCGGCTGAGATCACCGAGTTCGTCGAGGTCCCCGATGCCTTTGTGCCGATTATCAAGATGGAATACCGCGGCGTCAGCATAGACTTGCTCTTTGCCTCGCTGCCTTCGCAAGCCACAATTCCAGATGATCTCGATTACCGCGACGTTTTGATTCTGCGTGGGCTGGACGAAGTCGGCAGTCGAACCGTGAACGGTCCGCGCGTGGTCAAGGAGCTCTTGGATGCCATACCCGAACACAAGTCATTCCGATACGCCCTGCGCACAATCAAGCTATGGTCAAATATGCGTGGCATATACGGCGCCGTCTTCGGCTATCCTGGAGGCATTGCATGGGCCATCATGGTTGCCCGGATAGCCCAGCTCTTCCCCAATGCCTGTGGCGCTACCATTGTTTGCAAGTTCTTCAACTTGATACAGAAGTGGGAGTGGCCGCGCCCCATCATGCTGAACAACCTCGTTGGAGGAACTGAGGCGCAGAAGGTCCCGATGCCCCAATGGAACCCAACCCAGAACCGCGGCGATCGAGCACATATCATGCCCGTCATCACGCCTGCCTACCCCCAGATGTGCTCTACTCATTTGATCACACGGACAACGTTCGATGTGATCATCAACGAGTGCCAGCGTGCTTCGAATATCGTGGCGAGAATTCAGGAACGGCGGACAACCTGGGATGAACTGTTTGAGCGGCACACCTTCTTCACAAAGGACCACAAGGTCTATCTCAGCGTCATCGCCACTAGCCTAACCAAGGATGCGGATGAGAAGTTCAAAGGGTGGGTCCAGTCCAAGATCAGCAGGCTAGCAAAGAACATCGAGGAGGGCGATTACAACGAAGATTTGCAGCCACTGAAAAAGGCGCGCCCATACATGAAGTCCTTCGATCGTGTACATCGCTGCGCTAACCAGGATGAGATTGAACGAGTCAAACAAGGTGTTCTGGACTTTTGGATCAAGAAAGACGACCTCCCTAAGAGCGGCGAGCCTTCCACTGATGGTGGTTCAAGCCTCGTCTACACCTCCACCTTCTACATCGGTCTCACGCTGCCCGAAGGTAAGTCTCTGTTCGCTTGAAGACGACAGCGCCGCGCTAACACCAATAGATTCCAAGTCATTGGACATATCTCATCCCGTGTCGACGTTCAAGCACCAGGTCGAGAACAGCGAAGTCAACAAGAACTTTGACCCTACGCAAATGTTCTGTCGCGTCGTGCACACTCGTCAGTAAGTAAAGTCAGCCCTAGCTATTATGCATCGCTAACTTGTGTAGTGTCAATCTGCCCGATGATGTCTTTGTCGAAGGTGAAACAAAGCCAACGAAGCCCCCCAAAGACAGGGATAGGCGCCGGAGGAAGGACAGGACGAACGGCAGCTCTGCCAAGTCCAGGAAGCGCCACATCGAAGAGACTGAGCCAGAAGTGCGTAGTTCGCGTCCTGCGAAAACCTCACGACAATTCTGAACGCCATGAGGCGTGAACATGCTCTCATACTGACTTTGTGCTAATCTAGGACAGTTCGGCACCTCCCAAGAAGCGGGTCTCCAACATTTCCCCTCAGGGCATGCCTACTCCAACCCTGGCATAGGTTTCCTCGCATTTCGTTTTGAGCAACTCCGAGCATACCATGCCCCCTTTTTCGTTAACAACACCCAAGCTTCAGGGCTCTTCACAACATTCCCTTCCCAGCCCCGGTTCCGTCCAGCCACCACAAGATCGAGCATAGCACTAGCTAGACCACCCTGACCCGGCAAGACCAAGCTATAATTCCTCCATCATAGTGGCCGGGGCCCGCCGAGGCGCCGAGCCATGGACAGCATCGGGCAGCCTTTGCAATCAGAAAACAGAAAAAAAATCTGGAAAACGGCAGCTTCATCGCGCCATCGAAAAATCCTGACAACCACAGAAACCGACAACACAAAAAAAATTGGTACGAACCCCACCACGCTCGCGCGACTTCACCATCAAGCATTGGTTCCCTATGTTACCCACCTTGGTATGGATGGGATTGGCAGGTCATAGGTAGGGTGTTTTGGCGTTTACATTGAAAGGGGGAGCATGCATTGGGTGGGTGTGAAGTGCAAAATTGGCCTGGCGTTATCAAGAGAGAGTCTACAGATCAGTCAGTTTTCTTTGTCACAGCATGGATGGGCAAATGGATGGGCGGAATGTGTTGCTCTTTGCTTATTTGGAGGGTCTCCGTGGGACGGCTCACCCTACTGGCAGACTCCGTCATGTGAATAGTCTTGAGAGCAGACAAACAATCCACTACATTAAAAAAATCACGAGTTATTGTGCGGTGAAGCTAGAATACTGCGGCCTTCTTTGTGTTAATGAAGGATCACCTCGCACCTGCTGCTTCACTCCAGATATGTAGCTTCCCCGCACTAGATAGTTTAGAGGTGAGGGGAAGGTTTCCTCAAATGTGATAAATGCTGTAAAGTCCCCAGTTTCCTATTTTAGTTCTGTTGCAGACAACTAGGTAGGTTCCTAACATTTTCACTTCATCTTATGACTATGTAACTTCGTAGAGAGATGCTATGTCGCCGTCATCTTCCCCATACAAGCTCAGCTAGGCCTACAGCCCTAGCATGCAGCAACCTCCCGGCTTCTCCATCGGCTCCCCGCAGCTACACATAGTCGTATCGGAGAGTGTTCCTTTCATTGTAGCTCGCCCACCTTTGTATATCATGTTTATCGAGCTTTGGTCTTTTCCGACGTTTCCTCCACCCATTTCACGTCTCCCCCTCTTTCTTGATACTCCGCGCAGTTGCAAACCCACTATCTGAAGATACTATCCCACACCATGGACGACGAAGCCCGGCAAGCTCTCGCCAGCATGACAATGCCCCGACGCGCCATCAACTTCGTTCCCGCGAAAGAAGGCGAGATCCTAAAGCTCGGCCACATCACATGTAGGATCATGGAAGATGGCTCACGAACAGGTGCGCTTCAATCTCTTCCCACCCTATCCAATTACACCACGCAGACAGCACAGCACTTCAAAAACAAAAACAAAAAAAAAAACCCCTAATCCGCCCTCCCCTCCCTCCAGACAACCGCCTCGGCTCCGCCGAATTCACCGTCCCCGCAAAAACCAGCGGCCCGCCCGCGCACTGGCACGAAATGCACGACGAAACCTTCCTCGTCACCCAGGGCACGGTCCGCTTTCACGCGCCCGACGGGCAAACCATCGATGCGCAAACGGGCGACTACGTCACTGTGCCTATCCGCGCACCGCACACTTTCTCCAACCCGTTCGACGTCGAGGCTAAGTTCTTCAATACGTATACGCCGGCGTTCTATATCGATTATTTCAAGATGATGGCGGAGGTGAGCAGGAGCGATGAGAGGATGAGCAAGGAGAAGAATTTGGAGATTATGAGTCGGTTTGCGACGATGCCGGCGAGGCCGATGTTGGAGGAGATGGCGAAGGGGGAGTAGGGGATGAAGATGAGGGAGGGAAGGGAGAGTTGTTGTATTCCACGAGCATGACATTTGACGTTATTAGGAATATGGTAGGAAATCAGGGCGTGCCAGCGATTCGCCAGCAAGTTGAGCGAAGCAAAATGCAATGCATCTATTTCTTTGGTCTGCCCATGTCCTATGATGCACCCCCCTGTACTCCGTACATATGTATGTAGGCTTGAACGATAGATACCATTTAAAATGACAGCCAGAGAAGGTCACAGCTTCTTCGAAACACTACAGAAAATGCGAGGCAGGAATGTTTATTGTATCAAGGATGACGACACCGCCTATTTCATGAATTGAGCGCTCTGTGCCTGATTTCTGATTGGCTGGTTGGCATTGCTACTGCGAGGGCTGAGAAACCCAAGGGCGACAAGCCACATCACCAACCTTCGACGGAGAGCCTGATATTAGACCAAATGGAACTAACGGTTCCAAAATAAAGGCAAAAAAGAATGACTCTCCGACGGGGAATCGAACCCCGGTCTCCCGCGCTTGTTAGATAGATATCTATCATGACAAGCGGAAATCATGACCACTAGACCATCGAAGATATTCGCTTCTGAAGCGGATGGTACTTGTTGTGTGGAGGATTTGCAATTTACAACAATTATATAGTAGTAAAATATAATCAAGGCTCAGCATTAGATGAAGGGCTGGTGTTGTTGCGCACATCTAAAGTGGCTCATTTTTACAGCACATGTGATTTGCCGCAACCGGCGGACCCGTGCACTGAGGGGTAAATCAACTACCGTTACGCCACGCCTCGGAACGTGGCGGAGTTACTCGTTGCAGACAACCTTTCGAACCTTGGAAGCGCGAACTTTCCTTAGATGTCAATACGACTACTCTCTTGTAAGTTCAAGCCAGCTCTTCTAGCGTACATACATAGCCTGGGTATATGCTCTTATGGCAAAGTCAAATCATTCCGCTCACAGTATACTAAATATACAGCAAGTCAAGAAACACAAATCACTCTGTACAGTACATTTGAATTCCCGTACACTCTGCATAAAACACGGCAAATGCTTGCAAGATGCGTGACGGGAGGCCTGAAGGTTTCATACGCGTTCTTCTTGAGAGCGGGGAAGAGGATGTTATTAAACGGCAAATCGACGCGGCGACAAACTTAATCGAAATGCCAATTTGATGGTATTTGAAATGGGATCCTAGTATCTGTCTATTTATGCCGCGTGTCCAACAGGCGCGCTGTACCGCTGGTATCCAACAAACCGCTGAGCCACTAGTATCCAACAAACTCCAATGAAATGCATCCGCAGGTATCATGCATGCCCAAAATTTGTAAACAAAAAGCGCCACCAATGCCCTCCTTGTGGCGAAAGGCACATCACGCCTTCTAGACTGATGGGTCGCCTCTCAATGCCCAGTGCGAAGCGATGTGACCACCACCAAAGCTAACAGTGCGGCAATGACCAACAGCATCGTTGACACGATGATGGCAGCGACGAAGCGCTCAACCGTGAAGCGTACATCATCTGCCTGCGCATGTTCCACGCCCGCCTCTTCATCGGCTTCTGTAGAAACGGAATGGGAAGGTATATGTCGAATCAGCGTGTCGCGAAATGACTCCCTCACCGCGACGTGGTACGAGGGAGGTGCCTCGGTCGGGTAAGGGTACAAATGCGCGAGGGGAACATCGCCATCATTCTCGGGTACGGCGTCGGTATAGGGTATGAAAGTGTGTACTTGACTAGGCGGGATCTCAGACGTGGAGCGCTGCCGCGGTGTTGATGCTGGTGCGGCTAATGAGATGAAGGGAACTTCGTCTTCTCCTCCGCCATCGTACTCGTCATTCGTAGGCTCGTCGCGGTAAGTTCTTAGCGGCTGTGCGGCAAGATCATGGGCAGCCGAGGGTAGCGGTTTCGCAGTTGAAGCGCGGCTTGATGGTGTGGACGTGGGTACTGGCGATGGGCTTCGCGAAGGGGTGGGCGAGTCTCGGTAGCGTTCTTGGGCGTGGTCCTAGGCTTCATGTCAGTCACACAGTTTCAACACCTGGCAGGCAGATGTAGCGATACACACCTCCATTATCCTCCCTTCTCTTCCGGTGTGTGTGCAGGTCGAAAACGAGCGTGGGGGGTATTGTATGCAAATACTGGCTGCACGAAGGACGGGGTGCTGCTGGTAAGCCTGCTCGTTAGTGGCAGAGTGTGGTAAACATTAGTTGGAGGATTACGAAGGCAGCAGCAGTGAGCCACATGTGCAGCATGTCCTTGAAACCGCACTGGGGCAGTCATGGCCATGGCGGCTGGCCCGCGTCCGGCAAGGTCGGACCAGATGCGTGAGAGTGAGAGTGAGTGACGTCTGCACTGTGGTGGGAGGATGCTTGCGGAAACTGTGGCTGGGGCGACTTTCGTGCTTCCGGACCCGCGCGCTAGCACCGGCACCAGCAACACCACACAGGCTGTGGGCCAGGGTGCCAGCTTTCGGTGACTATTCTATCTGTGTACTTCCCGCCTTCGTGGAAATACATCTTTCCTGCTCAAAGACACGAGAGAAATAGTTGCCCGTGCTCAATGCCTTCAAAAACGCGTGCAATGGCCCCTCACAGCCACACACGAGCGCGGGATGAACACCAGGGTTCCTGACACTCCAGTCGGTCGCACAATCGTCCCCAACCTCGTTTCATATCAAAACTCGCGAGTGGAACCTGGTCTGGTATGGTGTGACTATTATTGTCCTGGTGACCCACACACAAACGTTTACTGTGGATCCCGCGTGACCATGTACTGTGCTTCGTGGGCAGTAGATCAGTACCAGAAGTTAATGCCCAGGTGGATACTTTGCGGATGGTGACCGTCGAGGAATCACAGCATGAAGAAGTCCACTATTGGTAATTAGACATTATTGTTGCTGCTTGCATCCCAACTGATAATATATACAGTAGAAGTCGGGAGAGCGTAGCTGGGCTTCTACACATGGCCGTACAAAAGTGCGTTGTGCATCGCGTCCGTGAAGTCGTCGGCAAGCCAGTGCCGTGCTGCTAGATGCGTATATATGTTTCCGCTATAAACGCCAAAATACCTCCACAACCATACGATCATCGTGAGTCCCTGGGCAATTGCGGCAACGGTTTGGGTTGCCCAGCAGCTACCTTCACGTTGATGACCTTGCCCACGCCAACCTGGGCGCGCTCCATTGATATCCGTTCGTCCCAGGCCGCATTTGATGTCACTGACGGGGCCTTCTTCAAGTCATCGCCTTGTGCTTTGGCCATTGGAGTGAGCCCAATGACACTCTCGTGGTCGGTGTCGAATGTTGTATCCCCTGCTCGCTTCCCACTACTTCGTATTGTGATCTTTTCGCGCACATCTGTGGCTATCTTGCGGAAGAGTGGGCGTAGGATAGCTGACGATGCAGCAATGATTCCCGTTCCGGGCTCGGCGGTTGCCCAAATCACAGCGTTGATAGAGTCGGCTACAGTCATTGTCAGTAACAGTATGCAAGATACAACGGAGACGTAGACGTACTTGTGGGACCATCTCGAAACTGAAGCCCCTTCAGGTACACCATTCGCATGATACTAGATATTGACCCAATAGCAGCGAACGCCATAACAATACCAACCGAGATCTTGGATGCTCGATTCATGTCGCTCTCGAGGAGGATACATATCGGTATCAAGGTGAAGATCCAGTCTGCAATGACGTTGATAACACCGTACAGATATCCGGTGGCAAGAGTGAAACCAGGAGGGAGACATCGTTTGGATCCGAGTAAGCTATCTCCAAGACGGGCAGGGTTGCCGCACACAAAGATCTGCGTGCAAAAGTAGAAGAACCCATACACGGCAGAGATGGTGAGGATAGTCTTGAAGAGTTGCCGTTGCCATGGCTTGGTGAGAAGGCGCAGGAAGAAAAGCCCCAAGGAAATTTTCAAGACCGTAGTGGTTAGGACATAGAAGACTTCGCTCAGTTGTATAAACTTTAATAGGTCAGTGATAGAAACGCGAGGTAGTGGACTGAAGGCTTACCACAATGCTTTGCACAAGTTGAGCGCTGTTGAACTGCTGATGTTTCAGAGCGCCAACCGTAACCACCAGGATGAAAGCACAATAGCAGGTGAAGAGAAGAAGAGTAACGACCATGGTTGCATCGTCCCATCCAGGCGACTTGGTAATAGCCAGCCTCACCCACATCCGAAGACCAACGGTAATCCACGAGAATATGAAGAGGAAAATGATAAGAGCGAAGAAGACCTCCCCTAGAGTTCTAGCATCCTGATGCATTTTGAGTTCGTTGGGTCAATGGTCCATGCGATGTTTCTGCAGAGCGGCAGCATTGCATTATGTATGAATCCCGCCCGGACGAGGTCAATTAATAACAAGCCAGGCCCACCGGATCGATCGAGGGCCGTGGCATTGTGGAAACAGCGTAGAACAAACCATGAACTCAGTGTAGCACACAGGGGGCCCCTGCAGCATATGCGACTGGGTATTCCCCCTGTACCATTAAAAGTTCCAAATAACAGAGTTCAGACATTTGCTGTGTGGTCGTCGGGTGGTCCGGCGAAGCCAGTGTTCAAACCTTCACGAAGTGATGGGAAGTCGTGCATACCGTAGGACTATATCCAGAGACGGACCCTACCCTCATCATTTTCAAACAGTCTAGATGGTGGCGTTGAAAGGACAACTCTTCCAGTACCGCAATTCAACCAGAGTTTGTCCATCATTTGCCATACGAAATTCAAGACCTCTGTAGGTGGGTTTTAAATGCTGCATTAATGCGTGACAGCTCTTCTGAGTACCTGACAGGCATATAAGGTAATAGTTGATAACAGAGATTGATAGCACACAACCATGCCAGCGAGGGGGAAGCTAGCGTGAGTAAACTTCGAGAGGTGGATAAAAATATGGGTAAAGCACGGTACAAGGTACAGACCGTGAGCAGAAAGAAAGTCGAGAGGGTCGAAAGTGTGCTGTTGCTAAGAGGCGAAAGTTTCAATGTTTCCTGACTCGATGACTGAGACAGTTTGAAGACGTGTTCGGTTCCATACCCTCAAGGATTCACGACGAGAGTGGCAACCAGATCTCATTTCTGAGTTCTGTTTGCATGGCCATGAAAGGTGGGGTGAGCGAATAGGATAAAAAGTTGACTGCTATTGTTTTCGGAGGGTGCATTCCGACCATAGGGATACTTCCCCGCTATAGTCAAGACCTATGTGAGGGCGCTCTTGTTTCGGCAACGCTGCGACAATGCACCTGGATGTCCCATGTTCGACATGTGTGCGATGTACCGTTCATGGGCGTAGGTCGGAAATAAAAAGAGTTGATAGTGGGGTCCGTGTTGATCTGATGACGAGCGCGAATGCCAAAGATTATGTAATCAAACGGAGCTTTGTTTTTCCGACCTTGGCGCGAAAATTGAGTCGTTAGATTTGTCCTCTACACTTGAATTCCCTCAATCACCACATATTCGACCCTACGTTATCCTCTACCATCCATCGCACTCCTCTTCACTAACTGCGCTTCTGATCCCATCGTCAAAGCTTGACCCATACCGGCAATTCGAAAGCACCCACCGCTGTATTTTAAGG